GAAGGAAGGAAGGAAGGAAGGAAGGAAGGAAGGAAGGAAGGAAGGAAGGAAGGAAGGAAGGAGGATTTCAGGTAGTAGATGATGGGAATTTCCTCTCCATGAAGTCCTAAGGAACTGCTGGTAGGCAGAGCTTGGAAAAATCGGGACTACAACTTCCAGAATTCTCCAGCCATGGTGACTGGTAGATTCCAGCCAGAAATAGTAATTTTTCCAAGCCTTGCCTGCTAGCAGATTTTCAGAGCCTCACAAAGAGGTCTTTGCCATCATTCTACCATAAACAGCTTGTCACACTGAGAAGTCGAGAGAATCAACATGTATTCTGCACTTCAGTCTTTCTCGGAACAATCCTAAATAGCCTAGATGGCCAAGAGCCAACTCAGCTGACTCCAGGCCAGATTAAGCTGTGCTAAATCCAAACCACCCCAACCCTAGGAATGTTGAAAATTAAGTAGGGCATCCCTTGTTTTGGCCTAAATTGTGCTGGGATAATGGCTGCATCCTTGAGCCTCAGCAATGTTTGATCTGGTTCTTCTGCCAACAGATCTTAACCAGCAGAGGAGGCCTGAGGTCACCTTGTCCATGGGAGTAGTACAAGAATATAGGAATTTCTGAGAGAGTAAGGGGATTTCTAGTGGCAGAAAAGATTTTGGTCTTTTCCAAATCTCCTGCGATTGCCAGGTATTTGAGATACAATGGTGCCATTAAATGTCATACTTGCAGCCTACTGAAAATGAGTTTCTATATTTGCCCCTTTGTCTGAAGGTGTAGCCAGAGAAGACATAAGACTCTTCTCAGTTACTACAAGTTATTACGTCATAGGAGATCATCAGGGAATCATGACAGAAGAAAATGAATTAATTTCATTAGTTGTACAGTTAAAACATAGTACACCTCCAGCTGCCTAGCAACTTGGCCTCAAAACTGAGGAGGAAAAACTTACTGCTACCTATTTCAAGGACCACTTTCCTTGAGACTAATGTAAAAATTAAAGAAGACTGGCTCCAGGATCGGTTAGATAGATAGCCCAGAAAAGAAAACTCAGATGGAAACATTAGTCCAGAATGATATTACTAGGAAGAGGTTGAGTCACCCAAAAGAGGTAACAAAGATGAATCTGAAGAGTGTATAGATTGGCAAGATGCAATAAAGAAAAAAGACCATCGGAAAATTTGGTTGCAATTACATACATGGTTACAAGATAGATAGAATAGTGGACTGATATAGTTATCTGTATGGCTGCAGAAGCGACAGAATAAATGATGGATAAAGACTATCAGCTACATAATCAAAAATTAGAATAACAATGTATCTGTCTAAAATTGATTTTCACTCTCACACATTATATTTATGATATGTGGAACTATTTCTAGAAGAGAATGTATAGAATTACTACGAAAAATATTGATTTCTAATGTATCCGTTCAAATCCACCCTTCTGAGGGTACCCTTATCCCAGCTGCCCTTTATCTTACCCTACCTTTATAATAGTTAAGTCATGTCCGACTCTTCGTGACCTCATGGTCCAGAGCACGCCAGGCCCTCCTGTCTTCCACTGCCTCCCAGAGTTGGGTTAAATTCATGTTAGTAGCTTCAATGATACTGTCCAGCCATCTTGTCCTCTGTCGTCCCCTTCTCCTCTTTCCTTCCTAATAAAGAGTGCATAGAGTTTGTGGAAGACTCAGCAGTAGATATGTATACCATTGTCAAATGGTTGGAAGCAAAAACCAATCTAAAAGGAAAGCTATCTTTCGTGTTTCAGAAAACACAGCTAAGTTTCAGCCCATATAAGGAAGCATTATGACTTCACACAAGGATGGGAGGGGCTCTGCCACAGCTGAGCAGGATGGCAGGCGGAGGGACCAACCAGCTGACCTGAGTAGCTGCTGCAGATGGGACCTGCTTGTCAGCCTCACCATACAGCTGTGTTCAGGTCTTCACCACAGACAGAGAAGTTCATGTGTAAATACAGCTCCCAAGGGACACCTCTGGCATGAATAGTTCAGCTAGTTCTTCAGGTTCTGGTATTTGTGTGTTTAGTTACTCCCACTTTTATATTCACTCTGCTTTACTCTTTGTTTGTTGTTTAATCATTAAGTCGTGTCCGACTCTTCGTGACCCCATGGACCAGAGCACGCCAGGCCTTCCTGTCTTCCACAGCCTCCCAGAGTTGGGTCAAATTCATGTTGGCAGCTTCTTTGACACTGCCAACCATCTCATCCTCTGTTGTCCCCTTCTCCTCTTTCATTCACACTTTCCCAACATCAGCATCTTTTCCAGGGAGTCTTCTCTTCTCATGAGATGGCCAAAGTATCTCCATATCTTCCCCTTTTATTTGCCAGGAGGTGATAGGACCAGTGGCCACGATCTTAGTTGTTGTTTTTTTGTTTGTTTGTTTTTTGATGTTGAGCTTTACTCTTACAAGAAATCCTGGAATCCAGCTACTGATGATTAGCATTAAGCGTGGTGAGAATTTACATTTGTGTAATATACAGCTTATTCAAAGATCTGATATCTTTAGCCACTTTGACCCAAATACAGAAACATTAAGAGTTCTAATATGCTTGATTTATCCCTTCCATCTATCATACTAGGAAATACGGATTGCTGTATTACAGAAAAAGGCAATCAAGACATACTCCACTTAAACATTTCCTATTCTAGCAGCATTTCACTACATTAAGCTTTCAAACCTAAGAATTAATCAGGAAGGGTTTTTTTTAAGTCTGCAACTGGAAGGAAAATGCCCAAAGAACAACAGCCAGCACAACACATGCAAATTCTTTTCCTTTTATATGGTTTTCCAAAATTCAAAGAAACCAAAGACTAAATAAGCATGCCTATAATGTCAGCGACAGTAAAATGTTCTTGAAAGCCACATGTGTTTTCCTTGCTTAGAAAAATACAAACTGCTTAATTGCTGTCACTGTATGTAAATGATTTGGCAGTTTCCAAGTCTAACTGGAGTTGTGCCTCTAATACTTACAGTGGCTGGAACCCCATCCAACTGGCGTGCACCATGATTTGACACCAGGATTCCATTTACACCACGCTTCACTGCTTCTTTCGCATCATCACCTGGGGGGGGAGGAAACACTAGGGGCTTTACAAGTTACAGCTGTCAGTGCAGAAAAATGTAACATCCATAAAACCGATTAACTCCTTCACTGAATCGAGACCCAGCTTCAGGAGATTAACCAATGAATACAGTTGAACAGATAAGTTGTGACATCTAGAACCCAGTAGAAGTTGCAAATCTGACTGTATGTTTCTCAAAGGTGAACGTCAACATTTTATGGCCTAAAAGACCTCTGTTGTCCACTTCTGAAAGGATTGCAATAAACATTTGTCCAAAAGAGTGGTTGGGAGATTCTCAGAATTTTAATTTTAAAGGTATCTTTTTAACTTATAACATTTTAACCTAAGCTTGGAAAAGTTTTTCTTTCAGACTATAAGTCCCAGAATTCCTCAGGCAGCACCATGGTGACAGTAGCTGTGGAAAAGAGAATACATTTTCCAAATTTACTCTTTTGTACTAATCTAGGTGTTTAGTCAAGAACAAAAAAACTTCTTAATGAGGGTGAAAGAGGAGTGCAAAAAATGGTCTGAAGCTCAACATCAAAAAAACAAAAACTAAGATCATGGCCACTGGTTCCATCACCTCCTGGCAAATAGAAAGGGAAGATATGGAGGCGGTGACAGATTTTACTTTATTGGGCTCCATGATCACTGCAGATGGGGACAGCTTCTTGGGAGAAAAGCCATGACAAACTTCAACAGCATCTTAAAAAGCAGAGACACCACCTTGCCGACAAAGGTCTGCATAATCCAAGCTGTTGTTTTTCCAGTAGTGATGTATGGAAATGAGAGCTGGACCATAAAGAAAGCTGACCACCAAAGAACTGATGCTTTTGAATTGTGATGCTGGAACAGGCCGTTGAGAGTCCCTTGGACTGCGAAAAGAACAAACCTATCCATTTTGAAGGAAATCAACCCTGCGTGTTCACTGGAAGGACAGATCCTGAAGCTGAGGCTCCAGTACTTTGGCCATCTCATGAGAAGAGAAGACTCCCTGGAAAGGACCCTGATGTTGGGAAAGTGTGAAGGCAAGAGGAGAAGGAGATGACAGAGGATGAGATGGTTTGACAGTGTCACCGAAGCGACCAACATGAATTTGACCCAGCTCCGGGAGGCAGTGGAAGACAGGAGGGCCTGGCGTGCTCTGGTCCATGGGGTCATGAAGAGTCAGACATGACTTAATAACTAAACAACAACAAGGAGATCATATTTACATCAAAGGCAGCACTTCTGATTAGAGATTTATTGCACAGAGAAATTAATAATTGTAGTATAATCATCCACAAATGTAATGTAATCACTTCATGATGTTCCAATGGCTTTCAATTAATGACAGTACACAGGGAAAGGAAGAGACCTTGTAATTCCATGTAGCACACATGACCGAGAGAAGAATGTGGGTATGTGCATATGGGATTTTAAATGAGTTCAGGCATAACCATTTCCCATTCACAAGTGCTCTCAAATTTATTTACAAAGTAACAACCATTTCTAATTTCATATCAAAAAGAAACAGAGTGAATTTTCTTTTATATTCACCTACCTCAGTGGATGCCATTCTGTCCCTTCAGCGCTGTCTGGAGGCTGTGCTGCAATGGATGCAGCTGAATGGGTTGAGGTTGAACCCGGACAAGACGGAGGTCTTGAGGGTGGGCGACCCCTCCATTGACGGTATGGGAAACTCCCTCTCTTTTGGGGGGGACGACTCTCACAGCAAAGAGTGTGGTGCACAGCTTGGGGATACATCTGGGCCTGGCGCTTACCATGGAAACCCAGGTGGCATCCGCAGCCCACTCCGCCTGTTTCCATCTGTGATGGATTGCCCAGCTCCGATACGGAGGTCTTGAGGGTGGGCGACCCCTCCATTGACGGTATGGGAAACTCCCTCTCTTTTGGGGGGGACGACTCTCACAGCAAAGAGTGTGGTGCACAGCTTGGGGATACATCTGGGCCTGGCGCTTACCATGGAAACCCAGGTGGCATCCGCAGCCCACTCCGCCTGTTTCCATCTGTGATGGATTGCCCAGCTCCGATCCTATCTTGATGGTGGGGCTCTCACCACTCCATCCATGCGCTTGTAATCTCGAGATTAGACCACTGTAATGCGCTCTACATGGGGCTACCTTTGAGATTGATGTGGAAGCTTCAAATGGTGCAGAATGCAGTGGGCAGATTCCTTAGTGGGGTGAGAAAGTACCAGCATTTCTCTCCCACTCTGGCTGCCTTGCATTGGCTGCCCATTCACTTCCGCATTGACTTCAAAGTGTTGATGATGACATATAAAGCCCTAAATGGTTTAGATCCTCAATACCTGGCAGATTGCCTTCTCCCACTTAGATCTACCCGAATTACTCGGCATAGCCAGGTGGGATGGCTGAGGGGCCTAACACCGAGAGAGACCCGGAAGGAAAGTACAAGAAACCGGGCCTTCTCGGCAGTGGCCCCTCGGCTCTGCAATAACCTCCCATCAGTGATCTGCCTGGCTCCCTTGCTAAGTGTTTTACGAGCCAATTAAAAACTTGGCTCTTTAGGCAGGCCTTCCCTCCTGTCAATACTTGATGTTATGTTTATTATAATTTTCTGTTTTCCCATCTTGAGCATTACTAAGCGTTACTAATCACTATTGTTTTGTATTGTTTTAAACTGTTTTAGTTTACAATGTTTAATGGAACCTGCCCAGAGTAGACTTTGTCTAAAAGGGCGGGATAGAAATCTAGTAAGTAAGTAAGTAAGTAAGTAAGTAAGTAAGTAAGTAAGTAAGTAAGTAAGTAAGTAAGTAAGTAAGTAAGTAAGTATAGATAGATAGATAGATAGATAGATAGATAGATAGATAGATAGATAGATAGATAGATAGATAGATAGATAGATAGATAGATAGATAGATAGATAGATAGATAGATAGATAGATAGATAGATTCTGGACAATGTGTCCAACTGTGTACATTAACATGACAAATGTGGGATTCTCAGCTGGGAGTCAGGGCAAACCTGCAGACACCCGAGCTATTCACATGACCTCATCAAAACCAGGGAGATTCTGTTGCCATTCATATCAATTATTTTGCTGCCTCTTCTGCTTCGCCTCTAGATCGCTTTAACAAACAGATGGTTGCCACCAAAAGAGGATTGTCATTTTGACAACTTTTGCCCACTGGTTATCTCATTTATCACAGAATACTCATGTTTGGATCTTTTGTGGGGGGGGGGGGGTTAAGAAATAGATTTCATGTTTGTTTTCTGTGGCATCTAACCAAATTAAAGTGAATGGTTGGATTGCCTCTTGGAGGTCAAGGTTATTAACTGTTGATACAGAAAGAGCATCAAAATGCCCTCTTTTCTGAAGAGCAAGTAGGCATTTGTCCAGAGCACAAAAAATTTTACTCTTCCTATTACACCTCCATGCATCAAGGCCACTGGCTCTGCCTGAAGGGGATTTCTGGGAACTTTAAGGTAAAGGCAAAGGTTCCCCTAGACATTTAGTCCAGTTGTGTCCGACTCTAGGGACACATCCCCGTCTCCAAGCCGCAGAGCCAGCATTTGTCCATAGGCAGTTTCCGTGGTCACGTGGCCAGCGCAACTAGACACGGAATGCCATTACCTTCCCACCTTGGTGGTACCTATTTATCTACCTGCATTTACATGCTTTCGAACGGCTAGGTTGGCAGGAGCTGCGACAAGCGACGGGAGCTCACTCTGTTGAGTGGATTAGATCTTACGACTGCTGGTCTTCTGACCTTGCAGCACAGAGGCTTCTGCGGTTTGACCCGCAGTGCCACCACATCCCTTCTGGGAACTTTAGTTCAAAACTTTAATTCTTTTGAATTCTAAAAGAGGGAAGGCAGCTGGTGCCCTTTTGCAACCTGTGAGAAACAGCAGTGTATGTGTATTTATTAAATAAACAGAGAGAAGGGGCAGGCAACTAGGGCTCTACAGAAACATACGTGTTCCAAATTGCCTTCAAAAGAAAATGGCAATGTCTCTGCATTTTCTGAAGTGACCTTCCAAACCATAATAGACCTTATCTGTTACATTTGACTCAAGCATTTGTTCTATTTGTACGAACCTCTGAGAATGCCTTTAGCAACAATAGGCAGGGATGTCAGTCCTCTGAGCCAGTCCAGATCCTCCCAGTTGATTGATGGATCAATGGCTTCTGCCACATAAACAGACAGGCCACTGTCTTCACCGTATCCTTTCTCAGACGAAAAGGCCAGATCGTTTGTTTCGAAATTTTTCATCCTGAAATTTGGTGGAGAAAATAACTTTCAGAAAACAATATTACAACTCCATAAAGCTTGAGCTTCTTTAAAACAACAACAACAACACCCTCTAACAAATAGGTCTCCTTGCTGGGAGAAAGGTGGCATATAAATAAAACAAAATAAACTAACAAATAAATAAATAGGCCGACATCTACTGATTGCTGTGTGGTGTGAAAAAATGTGCATCAAGTACATGTAACTGGGTCAGGAAATAGGCCCTCAGGAGGGGTTACATTCTTCTCAGAAAGAAGTGCTTCTTCACTTAATGAAAAATCTGTGGGATCACTGCCACTAAAGAGCGTTGCCAGCTCAACAGCATCCCATTCCCTGAAATTTCAAGACCAAACCTGAAACCAGGGATGGCTCCTTGTGATGTTTCATAGGATGAGATCTCTGGGATGAAGTCTCATGAGTTGTGACATTAGGGCTCGAGCTCTCTCCCCAATCTTCTTCCCTTGCTCCTGCCTTTTCAGGGCATTGGCATTGTGCAAGCACCACACACACACACACACACACACACACACACACACACACACACACACACACACATACACACAGGGTATATGACGAAAACATACTCCAGGGATTATAGTCTAAAGCAATGTCTTCACTCAAGAGTCAGGGGGTTAGAGTGCATCCTTCTTGCCCATCAATCAAATCCTTATTCAATGTGCCATGGCTGAGCTACCTCTGTTTGGAAGGAAGGGGAAGCTCAAGATTCTCTCACACATACAGGGGCAAGAGCTCAGCAAACTACGTTTCTGGACTACAACTTAATTTGACTTTTTCTATTGATGTGCCATGGCTGAGCTACCTCTGTTTGGGAGGAAGGGGAAGCTCAACATTCTCTCACACATACAGGGACAAGAGCTCAGCAAACTATGTTTCTGGACTACAAGTTAATTTGACTTTTTCTATTGTTATGTTTTGTGAATTTATTTAAAGTGTTATTTGTTTTTTACCATGTTGTGAGCCACCAAAGTGGCCTTGGCAGCCAGATGGGCAGTATGGATGGATGGATGGATGGATGGATGGATGGATGGATGGATGGATGGATGGATGGATGGATGGATGGATGGATGGATGGACGGATGGACGGATGGACACCTGACCAGCAAGCCCAGAACCATGCTGGCTGGTGGGATCTTGAAGTTTCAATTTTAAAAAAATTATACTTCTCCAGATGATGGTGGGCCATCCCACAACTGACAGCAAGGCACACTTTAAAGATGCTGAGTAATTAAGAGCATTTTGTAAAGTTTATCTGAATGGTTGTTGTGGGTTTTTCGGGCTCTTTGGCCATGTTCTGAAGGTTGTTCTTCCTGACGTTTCACCAGTCTCTGTGGCCGGTATTTATAGCTGTGGGAATGGCTCTTTTTTCGGGAGATAGGGTGATTAGCATGTTTTTGTTGTGATGAGGGAGGGGGCAGAGAGAGATATTATCCGTCACTGTGGTTGATGGGTGTCGTTAGCTGGTCTTATTTGTGAAATGATCTCTGGCCCTTGTGGCTGAGTAAGAGTTCGTTGACCTTTTGAAGGATGTTTTAATCTGGAAAAATAAGCAGTAGCTGAACATGCCCTAAAACAATCTGGACACGAGAAATTCTATTTCAAAATACTGAAGTACTTGACATCACCAGCAATCTGTATGTTAGACTGCACAGGGAGGCCATTGAAATCCATAAACATAAACAAAACTTCAACAGGAAAGAAGAATGCCTGAAACTAAACCCGACCTGGCGGCCCATTCTGAAAAATACAACCTGCAAAAGGTCAACAAACTCTTACTCAGCCACAAGGGCCAGAGATCATTTCATAAATAAGACCAGCTAACGACACCCATCAACCACAGTGACGGATAATATCTCTCTCTGCCCCCTCCCTCATCACAACAAAAACATGCTAATCACCCTATCTCCCGAAAAAAGAGCCATTCCCACAGCTATAAATACCGGCCACAGAGACTGGCGAAACGTCAGGAAGAACAACCTTCAGAACACGGCCAAAGAGCCTGAACAACCCACAACAACCATTAGATCCTGGTCTGGAAAGCCTTCACGAATACATTTATCTGAAACTGTTTATATTGCTGAAGGTAAAATTATCCTTAATCTGGATGGAGGGGACAAAAGAGTCAGAATTAAATAAAGTCATGCTGAGTTGCTAACTGGTACTGCAGGGCCATGGTGTTTAAGGCTGTGATTTGAACAGAGCTGTTGAACAATGCTGGGAGGTGACAGATGCCCATAAATACCTGAGATGCGGAGGAAGCTGAAACCTGTTGCGGATGTCATCAAAGCGCTTCCCAAGAAAGGGTGTGTCCACGGTCACAAAGATGCCTTTATATCCTGCTTTCTCTGCACGCTGCACCAAGGACTTGGTGACCTCACGATCCTTATAAATATAGAGCTGGAGCCATCGAGTGCCTTCTGGAGCTGCCACGGCAACTTCTTCAATGGATGATGTGGCCCATGAGCTCAGCATCATTCCAGTCCCCATTGATCTGCAAGCTGAAAAGTAGAAAGTGTCTGCCCACAAGACCCAAGTATCCAGCAAAGAATTGAACCTTACAGGCTTTTTCAGGTTATAGAGGCTCCCCTGATATTTTATAAGCGCCTTGTTACTTTATACAACATAATACTGTCAAAGACGTCCACAAGAAGGTTCTCGGGCAAGGGAAAGCAGCATGGTGATGTTGATGCACAATGCAACCTATCTGAGTACTTTCTGTGTCTATGTACACATACGTTTTGATCTTTAGCATCACATTCAAGAGCATCTGGAAGTCCACGGACAGTGGGAAGAAGAGCCTCAGAACATGGAATGTTACAGCACAAATACAGAATATGATCAGCAACCCCAACCTCTGGCAAACATTTATACCATGCAAGGACTTCGAAAAGAAACACTTCACAAACAGAGACATGGCAACCTAGACAAACACACACAATACTTAAGAATATACTGACATTTTCTGATATTATTGCCCTTATAAAATTGGCAACACAACACAGTTTTTCAGGAATGGGAGTCCCAGGGGCTAGAGCTGTGGTTCGTAACCTTGGGTAACCCAAGTGTTCTTGGACTGCTATTCCCAGAAGCTGTGCTAGCCAGGGTTTCTGGGAGTTGCAGTCCAAGAGCACCTGGATTATCCAAGGTTGGGAACCACTAGTCTAGAAGGATCTCCCAACTGCTTCAGCTTGGCAACGTTGTTGAAGACCAATAGAGAACAGCAGTGGGGTTTGCAGGAATTACCTTTGGCAGAGGGAGGAGAAACTGTTGTGATGAGGGTTGAGAATTTTGGAGGTGTCTGGGCTGTATTTTATTTTTCCACTTTGTTACTAGCCACGTCTTACATCAGCTAACATAAAAGAAGTTTTGCATTCCTTGAATTTCCAACTATACAAATGTTTTTTTGAAACTCTCACTTTGTGGTATGAAAAGAGGACTGGTCGTTTCAGAGGAAAGGCCTACAATTTCTGGTAGATCCTGGCCTTCCAAGGTAGGTAACTCTGGTCCTGATTATGTCTATTCTAGATTTACTTCTATGTCGTTTCCCAGGGAGTGGATCTCATGTCCAGAATATATCTTTCTGTATGCAGCTGATATCTTGGTTCCCTCCAAACCACTGATTTTTTTCATCACACTTTAACAGTGCTCTGTCCAGTAATGAAATGTACTGCTGCTACAGTCAACTTCCCAGTTGCATCTCTGCATTTCTCTACAAAAAGGCAATACACCATAAAACTAAATAATGACAGACTACACTGCAGGATAGTTGCATACCACTAACTCCCCATAACTAAATGGATATACAGTAACAACATTGAGATGCTTTACACATCTAGTATAATCCACAGTCTCAACCACAGTTCTCCTTCCTATGATATAAGTATAATAATGATGGAATTTATGCAAAATACCTTTTTCATGCAATCATATTTCGCCAGCTTTATATTATTATTTCATTGTTGGAGTGTGCAAATTTTGTAAGAATCTGATCAGTCTGCTGCCCGAAGGAATTTTTCCACTAGAAAAATGCAGAAAATCTGAAATTGGCAGCTGGATTCTTGATAGAAGCAGTTATTCTAAACACTTTGCTGACAAGTTCAACATGAATCCATCTGGATACATTGCAATAATTAAATACATTCAGGAAGAGAAGAGAAGGTCTACAGCTATTATATCTCATTTCTACCTTGCTTTGTAGCACTGGAAAACAATTCTTTCTACTACTGAATGCTGGATCACTTCACAATTCAAGGGTGACCCATTGGTTGCCCTTGCCTTGATCAACACTTAACAGCAACCCAGAATTCTAATTAAGTATCTCTTAGCTCCAGACAAGTTGGAAATTGCAGCACACTGGAAAGACCCTAGGGGCCCAACAAATAAAGGGGGCTGGATAAAATATGGAAAATTATCCTTGTAGGAAAAGCTCACTCATACTGTGCAAATGCTGAAAGGCTATGGAAACAATGATGCACTGCAGGAATACGACATCCTTTCATTCTGTTTGTTAATGAGTGTGTGTCTCTGCATGGCCTTCCTGTAGACTAAGAAAAGCTCCGAAAAAAAAGAAAAGAATTTTCAAGACTTAAAGCCACATGCTAAACCCAACTGGAGCAGACCCACTGAATCAGTGTGATAGACACAAGTGTTGACTTACCATTTGGTCATTGAGTCTACTCTAAATCCAGCTGACACTCGCAGTTGGATTCAAGTAAAAGATTCTTAGCGGGCATTTTATCCTGACAAATCCAGTTCTCTTTCCATTAAGATCGCATTCGCAAAGAAAAGACCCTCTCCTGTAAGTGTGTACTTTCAATGGTTGCTTTTATATGAGTTTTATATTTACTGCTTTGCAGTTTTATTAGATTCTTGTGCTTCTGCCTGTATATAGTTTCAGGTCATTCTACTGTTGACCGGAGGCCTAAATCCAATTGCTGGTCCCAACTAGAGTGGACCCATTAAATCACTTGTTGCACGATTAGCTGCTGCTAGATAGCTCAGTGGTTTAGGTATCTGGTTGGGAGTTTGATTCCCCACTGTGCCTCCCTGAGAGGGGTTAGACTTGATAAGTTCCCTTCCAGTTCTGCAGTTTTAATGTGAGGAGGAGGAGGAAAAACATAAATCTCATTAATCCAGAGGGTCTACTCTGATCAACACTTAGATTGAGACTTAAGTGTTTTTAATGCTTTTATTGTTGTATGTCACTTTGGGGTCATCTTAATTTTCCAGGTACAATTGTGTTTTAGATTTTAGTACTGATATATTTTTGAACAGGCCAACAACAGAGATGTACTAGTATTCATCTAGCATTTCCCTGTAAATAAGCTCGTGGCTGTTAACACATGGAATAACTCTGGAGCCATAAATAAGAGACACCCACAACATCATGCTAGTAATCAACATTCCCCCCAAAAAAGCCCTTTTTATTATTTTTGCTGGTTTGTGTCAACTTATATTTTATATAAAATATTGATATTTTACATTTATGTTTTCGAATTCACACCCAGTTGACTTAGACATGTAGCTACAAACAGAACTCCTCCATTTCTTTCTTATACATGGCAGAGCGCCTTCTTCCGCCTAGCTCTACCTGTATCACCCGTTCCCGTCAGACCGGGTGACTGAGGGGCCTAATGCCAAGAGAGGTCTGAAGGGAAAAAAATAAAAATCGGGCCTTCTCGGCAGTGGCCCCTTGCCTCTGGAACAATTTACCTGCAGAGATCCTCCTGGCCCTCTTGCTGAGGGCCTTCAAGACCAATCTGAAGACATGGCTATACAGACAGGCCTTCCCTACAGCCTGCACCTAGCATATTTATTTCTCTTTTCCTCTTTTTCTTTATCCATCTTGGATTCTGCAATTAATTCAGATTTTACCTTTAGTTTATTTTTTATGCTTCATGTAAACCGCCCAGAGTAGACACATTCTAGATGGGCAGTATATAAGTTTAATAAATAAATAGTATAAATAAAAATAAATGTATGTGCGTATGTTCTTTACATGACTTAAAATGACTATAACTGGCATGAAATTGTCAAGTCCTGACACATGTCTTGTGTGCCTTGCCTGTAAATGTCCAAATGCGCTGAAGATGACCAGCCTGGTGGTAGCAGCGGTAGCAGCAGCACACCTAGGGAAATCTCTAAACTGGCAGAAGTATAAAAACTCTTTGAGGGAGTGGAAAAATAAGGATGATGGCAAATCCACCCGGTGAGATTTGAGCAGGTTGGGAGGGGGTATAAAATGCTGAAGATGCTTGTGGAAAACAGTGGGAAATAAGGACAGCAGGAATGGAATTAAGACTTCTGGAAGGCAGGCATCTTGAAGAAGAGCCCTTGACACTGCAGCAATGTGTTATGCATCTCACTTCTCAGTGCCTATCAGCCACAAAACCTAAATGCAGTCTCTACAACAGAATACCTCTACAGTAACAGTGACTTAAGGAAAAAGTCCTGCCATATCTTGCTCATGAATCTCCCCAGAAGCACATGGTCATCAACTGCTGAAAGCAGAACCCTGGACTGTCACAGGATGAAACAGAAATTCACCTCTAGAACTGTCAACAACACTCCAGCCTTAGAATAGAGAGGTTCAAACTAAGATGCCCCCTGCCACTTCCAAAGGATGCCCAGGGATAACCCAGGTACTACCTCCAGCGGCTTCCTTCCAAGGGTGAAAATTCTAACCAGGGATGGAGAAGTCTGCCAAGTTTTGGTTTCTCGGGCATTCAGATGTTTTAAACCCAAGATTCTTTCCATCCTGAATATGCCACTTGTCCGTTTCAGTAACTTTTTCAAAAATGAACAGAAATCCCTCCCACATAACTACACTAGACAAATTGAAAAGGATGGAAAGGTCCAAGATGTATTTGCTTACTGTAGACATATTATTGTAGACATATTAACTATAAGAGATCTCTCTAAATGAGCACTAACATGGGTGAATATTTACTAAGTGAAATCCATTCATGGAGAGGGGACTATCCTGCATGAAGCCATTTTTTTGTAGATTCCTCACATCAAGCTCATCAAACGATGGTAAGCCGTTGCCAGACCAACCACTGTGCCTAATGCACTGCGGTTGTCTTTGCCTTCATATAGCACTCAAGTACTGGTGATCTCTAAGACTGATTACGGTAAAGCTCTCTAGGTGGGGCTGCCCTTGAGCCTGGCCCGGACATTGCAGGAGGTACAGAATGTGGCAGCCCAACTGATGTCAGGTGTGAACAAGTTCGATCCAATTTCTCAGGTTCTGCCTTGCCTGCCTTGGTCTTCTGGTTGTTTTCTGGGCCAGGTTCAAGGTTCTGGTTCTAGCTTATTAAGCTCTCAGTGGTCTGGGGACACGCTATCTGTCGGAGTGCCATTTCCTCAGAACACCAGTCCATCCCATTCATTCTTCTCAGGCCTTGCTTCTTTGGGTTGCCACACCAGAAACGGTGTCTTCTCGGTCGTAGCCCCATCCTTATGGAATGAGCCTCCTGCTAGAAATATACCAGGCCTC